AAAATTGTAGTACATTTTATAATATAAAGTTTTTCAACTGTATTTTTGGGTAGATTTATATCAATTTCTTCATTTATTTTCATCCATTTACATGCACATACCATAATAAAAGAAATAAATGACCTCGGTGCAAAGCCGGAGTGTTCTTGTACTAATTTGATTACGGTACAAAAATTGTTATGTCCAGTGCAAATTACAACATGTTTACCGGGTATATTCAAATTAATCAGTTACAAGAATCCCAGCAATGTTAATTATATTGTACCAGGTCATTTCACTGGCATTTTAAAATGAGAGAAGCTCAGTAGGACTGTTAAATAAACACACAGAGACCTTCGGCTCAAACTGTCAAACGTATCGTCTTAACTCTCTCCCCCATCTGTTCAGCCAGGGTTTTAGGCTTACAGTTTTTATCTTACATAATATTTCAGACTAAATTTAGGAGATTATAATTTGCATTGCTGGAATCCTTGCAAGACAGCCAATAATTTGAATGTAAACGTCATATATTTTGCTCAAGAGATAAAAATTGTTGTACATTAGTGTACAGTACTGTAGTACATTTTATAATATAAAGTTTTTCAACTGTATTTTTGGGTAGATTTACATCAATTTCTTCATTTATTTTCATTCATTTACATGCACACACCATACTAAAAGAAATAATTGACCTTAGTGCAAAGCTGGAGTTTTCTTGTACTAATTTGATTTCGGTACTAAAATTATAGCATGTTTATATACAAATTAATCAGTGTATTACAAGAATCCCAACAATGTTAATCATATTCACCCGGGTCATTTCCTGGCCGGGAAAAAACTCGCCACAGACCCGGGCGCCAACCGTCGGTGTCACCGGGCTTTATCTTAAATAATATCACAGACAAAAGTTAGGAAAATTTAATTTGCATTGCTAAAATCGTTACAAGACAGCTAATAATTTTAATATAAATGTTGTATATTTTGCGCAAGAGATAAAAATTTGTAGCCCTTTGAAATAAAATTAGTTCCAACTAAAATTTGTATGTGAACTATAGCATGTTTATATTCAAAGTAATCACAATTTTATATGAATTCCAGCAATGTTAATTATATTCTTCCAAGTCAGTTTAGTGATATTTCATAAGAGAAAAACTGAAAGTCACTGTTAAGGACAGATAAATAAATAAGCTCTAGACCTTGGCATCGCATCGCCATTTAATCCGATCACGAGTAAACGGGCCATTTTGCGTCTCATAATTTTAGCCGCGTCGATTTACGAGCGTCCGTTTTAACGCGATATTACAAAAACGATGTTTTGTAGGAGATGGGCCGAGGTGCATTTGGGTATACTCTGTCTTTTTAGTATTTTGTGTTAGTCTCAAGTACCAAAGTAAATTGTTCCATTGAAACCACTTTAATTGAGTCCGAATTTGGTTTAAAGCTATTAGCTCTCTAGGAATGCGTCTCGCATCACATCGACGTCGTACCGTACGTGCATCGGTAACCGACACGTACACGGGACCGGTAACAATTTTACGTAAATGCGTCGACGACGAAGAGAGGTCAATCGTAACATTCGATAATGCCGTCGGGTCGTCGGCGTACCGTTTCTACGTTTAGTAAATAGTCGTGGCGATTTTTATCGCGCGCGTCCGTCGACGGGCACGCCGAGGGCGGTCCGTCACCGACCGCTCGAGATTCGGCCTCTATTGCACAGTCGTACGGTTCGTCGTCGTTTGCGAGAAGTACTCGTTTGCTTAGTCTCGCGTGCAGTATATTGCATTTTTTTAGCAATAGACCAGTTATGATCGTAGAGTAGTTCCATGACGTAGGGTATCGTCTCACCGTCGGCCCGGGACACACCTCCGGCTATTCGACGCTCCGCTTACCGGTACACGACACAAATTAAAAATTATCAACACGATATTTTATGAGGGCATTATGATTGATTTATAATACCCTATGCAATGGTTGTATAGATGTAGTGCAGTATAATTATTAAATGCAGGCAGCATTCACATCACAAACTTAACCCACAGAAGAAGTCGCCTCGGGCAACGGCAGCAGCGGAAGCGCGATCCGGGAGACGGACACGAAGAACGACCTCCGCGGAACGACCGTAGATCGTCGCTCCGTCACCGCTCCGGAGACGGGTCGGCGAGTGCCGCTCTCCGACGTAAGATAATCGTCGAGAATAACCTACGCGTTTTTGTATTTTTATGGATGCTATTTTAAGGATAACTAAAGCTCAGTCAAAGGTTATTTTAGCTTAAGGTCATATTATACGTGTATTTGTAATGTACAGTATTTCATAAAGTAAGAATGCTAAAAGTTGCCCGACGGTCGACCCACAAAACAACGGCGGCGAAGCGCTCCGGCACTCGAGAAGACGGAAGCTCCGAGTACACGAAGTTAAAGATTAACAGATAGTTTGACGACTATACCACCCCTTCATTCACATAGCACCCCTTGTTCACTCCACCTACCATCGCTTCCTCCCTCCACCTACCTCCTCTCCCTTTCTCCAGCTAAATCTATCCCTCCCTCCACCTACCATCCCTTCCTCCCTTGTTCCCTCCACCTACCATCGCTTCCTCCCTTGCTCCACCTACCATCGCTTCCTCCTCCACCTACCTCCTCTCCTTTCTCCAGCTAAATCTATCCCTCCCTCCACCTACCACCCCTTCCTCCCTTGTTCCCTCCACCTACCACCCCCTCCTTGTTCACTCCACCTACCATCGCTTCCTCCCTCCACCTACCTCCTCTCCCTTTCTCCAGCTAAATCTATCCCTCCCTCCACCTACCATCCCTTCCTCCCTTGTTCCCTCCACCTACCACCCCTTCCTCCCTTGTTCCCTCCACCTACCATCGCTTCCTTCCTCCACCTACCTCCTCTCCCTTCCTCCAGCTAAATCTATCCCTCCCTCCACTTAGCACTCTTCCTTTCCTCATCTATTATCTTTCCCTTCCACCCCTGTATCCCACCATCTGTCCCCCCTCCCTTTCTTCACGTACCACTCTTCCTTTCCTTATCTATTATCCTTCCCTTCCACCCCTCTATCCCTTCCCTCCACATACCACCTCTCGTTCCTTCCACTTGTGTTTTATTGGTTTATTTAATAAGTTTTATAGTATATGATGGTCACCTTATTAATAATGTAACATTTTGTGTGATTACAATTACACTACACACACTTAGTTGAAGTGACCAGTTATTAGTGTTGATATTAATGGGATAAATATTAGGTAAGTTTATTGGAGTTTGCTATAAAATATAAGACTATAGTAATTATAAAGTGTGAGTGTGAAGAAGGGTTTATAAGTTGTATAAATGTCAATTAGAGGAACAAATAATTTGCTAACCACACCCTAGTCCTCCAATGGAAAACGCATCGAAATGCGCAGGGTCGAGAATTGGCGAACGCATTCGGCGGGAGAATAAATGCGGCGACACGCGTAGAATACTCGTACGCCACTCTCGGGCACGTACGTTTCCATTCACTAAAGTTGGGTGGGTTTTTTTGGGTGGCGTGGGACCCGGAGGGCTTCGGCAGGCGGTCGCGTCCGGCAGTTGCCGTGCGAGAAATTGGGAGGACGGGCGTCGACGTCACAGAAATTAAGGAACGGCATCTTCCGGCGGCCCGCGAATAAAGGAACGTTCGGGCCGAGCGCGCGGCTCCTCCGCCGTACATTTCGACGTCGGTAACAAAAGTAGTCGATTGAAGTCACCTGTTTTGCCTGGGTGGATGTGTTTGTGCTAACCTTTTTAGGGAAGTGAATGTTTGGTACAGCAGATTTGGGGATTCATTGTAGAGTAGACTTGCCATACAGTGCACAGCGTTTTAATTAGTATCATATTGCGGCGATCGGCGAGCACGTAGACCGAAGCCTCACTCGACCGCGTCTCAGGGGGTGCGGGGTTTGGTCCGAGGCCACTCGCAGTCATCTTCGAGGGTATAGTCCGGAACGCCGTTCGACGAAACGTCTCGTCGAAATTCCGGAGCGGCGTTCTCGTCGGGGGGCGCGCCGGAGGTCGACGCGACGACGTTCCCGGAGGGGTCGTCGTCGGGCATTCGACGTGCATCCGTAAGGGCCTACGAGACTCCCCGAGGCCACTCGAACCCCGGAGTAGAACGAGGGCACGCGTCGAATCGGCGACCCGTTAAAAGCTGGGAAGAAATAAGATCGCGTAAATAACGGCAGATTAATTTCGCACCGAGGGAGCTCGAACCCACACGTAATTTTTGTCGTCGACACTCGCACGTATAGAAAGTGCAAAATAAATAAATAATACGTAATTTTTTTTATGGGAATTAGCCCACCCGGGCACGGGTCACCGACCCACATCGGGGCGAAAATGTAAGAATAATAATTGTTGAAGTTACAGTGTTCCTTTTTGGTGGATATCAACGAAATACGATGCGAGAGGCGCAGACAACGACACAAACGACGTTGCTCTTTCCGGCGTATTTTCGGGACCGTCCGTAAAAAAAAAAAAAAAACTAACGTGCGCATTGAAAGTGGCGCTTTATTCCACAAGCGAAATAAAATGTATTCACATAAATATGGGGTAACCTAGTTTATATGTAACAATAATACTAAAGAACCTTTAAGAAATACAAAATCAAAAGTGAGGAACAATATATTTATGTTGTGTTGTCAATAGTAAGAGAAACAATTGAGACCCCGCAATTGCGTGCTAAGGAGGCAGAAAGTCAGACGAGCGACCCGGGACTCGGTCACAATTTTAGGGATGCCACGTAGCAGCGAGAAGTACCGCAGACGACACATTACGCTTCCAATATTTTCCGCGGAGGTGGAATCTCCCGGTTTGGTAGCTGCCTAATACCTGCCTAAGTATGTAAGATTTTCCAATGGAAAGTGTATGTTTGGCAAATGTATCCAGGTCTTTAGAGAATGTACTCAGATATTTGGGTTAGTTGTCAAGGGTTCATGTATAATTTGCATGCCTAATTGACTATGTATATTTTTTAACTCTAATTTTTCATTTGCAGTCACCCGACAGGAGTCAGAAACGTCATTTTTGTGCGGACCGGCGACTCGACGGACCCCGGCCGAGGACGCCGCTCGAACCGCGGGAGTCGCCGGTAAGAATCTCGGACGACGCCGCATTGTAATGTTTATATCGCAGTGTACTGTATTTACTTAATGGTTGTTTGAAGAATAGGAATGCGTATGTGGCGTGCCTCGGCGTCTCCGCAGGAATTGCGGAGAGTAAGTCGAAGGTTTTAAAGGGAGACGAGAATTTATTAAACGGCGCGTCGTCGACCCGACCGCGAATCACTATCGGCGGGGGTCGCGTCGCAGTCGTCGACGAAATATCGAAGAAAGTTTTGACCTGTTACCGAGAGGAAATAAGACGGGAATTTACGAGTAAAAGAGTAGAACGTAAAGATAACGAGGGAGAGACGAAAATGCGACCGACGATAAGACTCGGGTGCCATTGAAAATGCGTAGACGGAAGAGGGACGGACATTACAAGCGTTATAATGAGAGTACTTAACTTAGCATAGAGATATAGAATTGAAGGTCTCATATCTGGTGTAAAAGTGTTGGATACAATATGAAAAGCATTATTACAAAATGGGAGATTAACCCATAAGCCAAGGGTTAGGGTGCTGCTGGCACTTCCCCCTTCCCTTTCTATTGGGATAAATTGAGAAACAAGATGAATTCTCCCACCTCAAAAAAGGGGAGAGTAGATGGACGTCGTGGAACTGTCACCTCGGGTGTAAGGGTTAAGAATGTAGTAGCTTGTAATGGAGGATGAGGTATATGTATTTATGTCCTATGTTTTATACTGTATTGCAAGTAGGCGTTATTGTATGCACACTGCGGGTCATAAGAGGAACGCGGCACGCCGGAGGCGGGGACACGGGACGATCCCTCGGAACGGAAGCCGAAAGTTCGTGGCGTGGGTATATCCACTTCCCTTAAAAGTGTAATTAGGGATCCTCCTCGGACACATTGCACCATTTGAACGCAGACGTAAGATTATCCTCATCGCCGTACACGTCCCGAGGAGACGAGGCGTATCGAGTTTACGCGGATGCATACGAGATATTTCCTTTCGAGTACAGGTAGTTCTGCTATAACGCGATAGTCGTGTTCTTGTAAAACGTCGTGTCGTAGAAATTCGTGTAATAGAAATGACAGGGCTTATGGAGAAAATGGGGTTAGGTGCTATCCTTTGTGCTAACAAAGGATAGCACAGTGTAAATAAATGTTACATTCATATCTAATAATGAAATCATACAGCAAATGTTACACTTTACCTTGAAAAAATATGAATATAACTTGATGGGGGAGAAGGTTGATGTTGAGGCTGAGGAGTCATGAAACATCAAGCTTTTCTTCAAGCGTCATAGCCTCTCTTTTACGATCACCACCGGAAATGCGATCACCAGAGTGCTTCCCAGAGATATTCTTCTTTTCCATAGTCACAAAATTGGAGAAAAAGTAATCGGAAATCACCGAGGACACTTAAAAACTTCACACGCGTTTCAAACAAAGTGGGGAGTAAACAGAGCGCGCGGGTCTAAAACGCTATGTATTTTGTTTTTCTCTTATTGAAAATTTTACATTTTATATATACTGTAGAGGTATAATGTATACATATATATTACACAAATTATTTTTGCAATTCTTCACAAACAAAACACACAAATCAATTGAACGTGCGATGTCGAACGCGAACTGTAAACACTGCATAACCCCGCGCCAAGCCACAATGTACAGTACACTTTAAACGCTACTTATTTTGTTTTTCTCTCTTATTTAAAAGTTTACAATTTACATATACTGTACAGGTATTTCTTCACAAACAAAACACACAAATCAATTGAACGAGTTATGTCGAACGTGAATTGTAAACATTGAGCCAAGCCACAACACTGTACAGTACACTTTAACACTTTAAACGTTACGTATTTAGTTTTTCTCTCTTATTTAAATTTTTACAATTTACATATTCATATTATGCTACAGCGCCCACAAAACACGAGAAACGTTCGAGTCCCCCAGTAGAGATGTCCGTTCTCTATCCAGTCCGGGATGTCCTAGTCCTCCGTTTTCTTTTTGTGTACTCGCTCAGGGACTCGAGTATTTCTGTATATAACACAGGATGATAAGGGAATTTGAATTTATTTGTTTATTTATAATATACTGCAATATATTAAATATGGTGCAAGTATTTTCTTTAATTTATATACTTTTTTCTCGAAAAAGGGAGGCTACCATTATACCCGGTAATGTACATTTATGGCGATCGTTAAGGACCAAACTCCGAATCCGTGACGTGACTTCTGTTCATCATTTATGTCCTAAATTTACCAATGTAGGTAGTTTCAAGAATTAATGCAGTTATTTACCGAATATTCTTTGCAAAAAAATAAATTTCAAATGAATTATTTATAGGAGATAAGTATTATGATCAGTAAATATACAGATATGCATTACCGACCACCTCCGAACACAAGGACGGCTAAAAATAGGCACGGACGGTCACAGTCGAGGTCACTTTCTCTTTCTTGTCACTGTAGGACCTTGTGAGTGGTTTACTGTATACGTAAATATTACATAAATTATTTCTGCATTTCTTCACAAACAAAACACATAAATCAATTGAATATGCGATGTCGAACGCGAACCGTAAACACCGCGTGTGATGTAAAGAGAGCGCGGGTCTAAAACGCTATGTAATTTGATTGTCTCTTTTATTTAAAATGTTACAATTTACTTATAATATATAGGTATACTGTATACATAAATATTACATACATTATTTCTGCTATTGTTCACAAACAAAACACATAACTCAATTGAACACGCGACGTCGAACGCGAGCCGAAGCCGTAACAACCGTTCGAGTGGAATCGCGTCGGAGCAAACGAGTTCGCGTTTTACAAATATCGTTCCTCGATTCATAAATCGCGTCGTCAAAACACGCGTTATGGCAGAACTCGCCGTATAGTTTTTGGTTCACCGCCAACGCGTTTATCCTCGTACCGGATCTTCGTCGTCGCGTATTTTTACGCGACATCTGCGGAAGTTACGTTCGATAGACGTTCGCAGACGTAAACGGCACGACCTCGAGAGCACGAAGTACATTCGGTCGTAAAGTACACCGGTCCGGATCGAGTGGACTTTCCCAATCGTGTTATAGATTTCTCGAGTTCTTGGGAATGGTACGAATATGTACAATTAATATTATGTTATGTACAGTATAGGTATATCGTATGTTTTTGATAATCGTTAAGTATTCGAGGCGGCGGCGACGTTCGGCATCGGCGGCAAAGCGACGGCACACCGCACAGACGGGCGGAGGAGCGTCGAGTCCGATTCCGTATCGGGCGACGGGGTCGCGGGTATTTACGGAGATACGGCAGAGCGCGACGTCGGCGCCCGCGTACGGCACGAGTAATTTGTGCGGGACGTAATTGCGGGGTAGTCGAGTATTGCAGTGGGTATGCCTGTGTGTTTTAGTTGGCAATGTTTGTGTGGGGTGAGTGTGTATAGGTATACTGTAGAAAGAATGAACTTAGATGAAGTTTGTTTGGGAATTAGTATAATTTGTAATAGTAGATAATTGTCGATATATTTTGACGGTAATTTGTCCGTTTCAGTTGCGGAGGAGCGCGCCGATACGAGTCGGAGACGGCTCGTACAGTCGGCGCGCGAGAGCGGTCCGGACGAAGACATTCGGGAACCGAGGACGAAGACGCTCGTCGACTGCGGACGAAGACGCCGGTCGACGCGCGAGGAAGATGCTCCGGAACACGGGAAGAACGCCACGCTCCCGAGTGCGGGAAGACACTCGTCGACGCAGAAGGAGACGCGCATCGATGTCGTCGGGCCGGTGTGATTGGTTTAAAGACGATTTTATGTGTCAAACGAATGCACGTGTCATTTTTAACGATTGTTATAATGTTTGTAGTATTGTTTTTAGACACCGACTCTGCGAAGCCGGAGGAAGTCGATACATGTCGAGAATGAATTTATTGAAGATGTTGCTTGTGATCACTAGGTGTTTGCACTAATTTTGGGAGAAGATTACGATCGTAGAACGTCACGACACGGATGGCGTTGTCGAGGTAACCGATAAGAATGGAGAAATGATGACTATTTGGTGGGTTTTTTAGGACAGAGAGAGTAGTTATATATTAGTGAAGATATAAAGTAAAAGGTGATAAGGATGGTGATGGGGGACAACGAATGATATATTTTGTAGGGTATTAAAGGAATTGACGCGCCAGTGCCGAGTCGGCGTAATTGTGAGAAACGGATGCGACGGGGATTTTGAAGAAGTCGCGCGGCAGAGGAATTGCGGGGAAATCGGCGGAAGCGACGATCGCAATAACCTTTCGATGCGGGACGGGCGACGACGAATTTAGTAAATGGCGGTTTAGGAAAGGGTCGTACGTAAAGCGGCGGGTGCGGGCGCGCGCGGATACGGACGACGGTCGATCGGGGTCCGTTTACGGGACGGGAAAGAGGACCGACGGAGACGAGGCGGCGCACAAAAGAAAGTCTCCGAGGTACCGCGGGGAAGTACGGCAGTAGTTACGGAAGTATACCCGCGAGATGCGTAAAGAATGATTTGGAAGTAGATTGAACCGAGAGTTGCGTGTTTGAAATGGCGGGAAGGTTCGACAGGTGTATTAGTTTTACGTAATTGTGGCAGTGCGTTTGAGAGCGGGCAGTCGTGGAATGCGCGTGGGTACCTATTTTGAGACAGCGACATCTACCGGTAAGGAAATACGTGATGCAGCAGTAATATATTTTTGGGATGAATTTATACTCGTTCACCCGTACTCCGTGTTGCTCCACTCGTGTTAAGGTGTTTATTGTGAAGGCGTTTGTATAATAATAAAATTTGTTGGACGAGTAGGGGAAGGAATACGAGCACAATGTTTAATTTGTAAGCCCTCCCTTTTTTGTCTTTTCCCTCTGCCTCCCCGTCCTCCTCCTCCTCCTTTTTTGACGCGTTCCTCGTTTCTGTGTTTGTCGTGCGGCTTCTCCCCCCTACCTGCTTCTGTCCGTCCTCTTCTTCTTCTTCTTCCTGTTTCCTTCTTTTACTCCTCCTCTTCGCCTTATGTCTTCCTCGTTTCCTTGTTTATTGTTTTGCTTGTTCACCCTCTGTTCCTTCTCGTCCTCTGTTTGATTGTGATTCCCTTGTTGTTTGTCACCCTCCCATTGCTCTTGATCCTGTTGTTACTCCCATTTGTTTGTTGCTTTCTTTCCCTTTGTTGGTTGTTTTTGTGTCCCTGTATACGTTTGTTGTTAGCGATTGAATTTGTGGTTGTATTACTGCTGCTGTGTGTATGTTGGATTGTATTTATTTGTTGTTATATATATGTTGTGAGTGTGAATTAGATATATTGTGTTGATATTTGACTAAATTTTGTTGTTAAGAAGAGGAGGAGTTCTATTTAGATTTGGAAAGTAACTGTCATCGAGGACGAGAATGCACGTACCGTCTGTAGTTTGAATACGCGGTCGCGTCGGGTTTGGGCAGTTATATATCGGGAAATAGTCGAAGAGTGTAAGTTAATGTTGTGGACTTGTGAAATTGATGAGGATGAAATTGTTTATTGTGGAATAGTTATTGGTTTTAATTTGAAGGGTGTTAATTGCGCACCGGGAATATTTTGTCGGGAGTTTCGCGTCGTCGGAATCGACCGGAACGGCCGCAATAAATCGGGGGAGTCGCGGAGTTATTTTTTGTCGTTATAGATCCGTTCGCGAGTCGTAAAAAATGTGGCGTCGTCGACGAAAGTCAATCGTCCGCGGATCGGTCCTCTTCGAATCGACGGAAGTTAAGCGCGGACTCGCAATACAGTTTGACGTGCAATTCGTCGCGTCCGTTTTATTGTAGTCGAGTTAGGTGTAGACTTTGAATATTTGTAGACTTGTATATGTTTGTTTGTAATTGATTGAAGTTATTTGTAGTTTGAAAAATGTTTTGACTTGTTGTTGTTGTTTGATTATAGTATAGTCATTTGTGCAGTTTGAATCTATTTTGGTTTGTGGATTTGGAAAATGTGTTGCATGTATGTGAACTTTGAATAAGTGAGATATTTTGTGGATTTTGTATATTTTTCATGTTTGTGGACCGAAATGTCGTACAGGTCGTACCTCTCTAGTCGGGCAACCTCGGGATCGGACCGGTGCCGGACCATGGAAATTCACCCTTTTCCTGGATAGATAGTGACTTGTGCTAATGCTTGGAAGCACTAGCACCACTTTTTCTGCATCACGGCCTCTTTGAAGACATATTGAAGGGTTAAATGTCGTATAGTAGCTCGTCAAATTTCGAGAGTTTTTAATTCTTAACGTATTTTATTGGAACACGCTAAAAAAATTAATAAATAAAAATTTTGACGGCGGAAACCGGAATTTCGACGGGTCCGAACGGCCCGGCAACGTGCAGACGACGGGCACAATCGCGTAAAGAGCGTCATTTCTCTCGTGTAGAAGAGATTCATTATTGTTTATTACTGAATGTCTTTTTTATTGAATTACTGTTTATGTGTGCAAAATGAGCAATACAATTCATTAATAATACGTAGAATACGAAAACACACGAGGAAATGACAAGGGCGTTGTTTTTGTCGATTGCAAAACCAGTGACTCAGAAGAAAATAAGACCTTGGCTGTAGCTGTAGTAAAATTACTATGGTTGTTTTAAGTAATGTTATTTATTGTTAATAAATGGAACAATAGAAGTAGCTAACGATAACGGTAAAGACAAAAAGAGATCGCGCGTGTAAGTGGGGATGCGAACACGCGAAAAGATATTGTCATTACTTTATGTAAGAATATGAAAGCAACACTTATTTACTGTTCATATATATTTTAATTGATGTTTGTGAATTTGTTTTTATTGAATTAATGTTTGTGTGTGCAAAATTAACAATATAATTTATTAATAATACGTGGAATATCGGAGGAGACGAGACGGCTGCCGGCATCGTTTACGTTAAAGGTCACAAAACCAGTGACCGATTGGTTGTACATATAAAACTGAAGAAAATAAGACCCTGATTTTAGCTGCAGTAAAATTAATGTAAAAAAATTAATATGCTCGTTTGAAGTACGTGTAATGTTATTTAATGTTAAAAAATGGAACAATATAAGTAGTTAACCATTAATGGTAAAAAAAAAAGTGAGTGCGCACATGTGAAAAGATATCGTCATTACTCTACATAAGAATATGAAAGCAACACTTATTTATTGCTGAAGGGTTAAATGTTGTACTCTATAGACAAAGAGAGAGAGAGAGCAGCTGAAGTGCTGGATGTAAACAAACCTTAATTTCCTGGGGGTTTTTTTTTGTAGGGGATTAGCCCACCTGGGCATAAGTCACTGACCCACAATTTAATACTCCTGCTATAATAATGATAATTTCCAAGAAAAAAAAAAAAAAACTGCCTATGTACCTGTTGGAGAAACTAAAATTGTTTTGGACCACGGGAGTTTGCGGAGCACAGAATGCCGGACTAGAGAGTTACAACCTGTAGTTGTTTGTGGACTTGAAATTGTTAACCTTTGTGGACTTTGAATAATTGATAATGTTTGTCGACTTTGAATTTGTTTTGCCTTTTGTGGACCGGGAAATTTATGCGTCGGGTCCGAGGACCGGCAATAATTATCGACGCACGCGAACTCGGAATAACGTATTACGCCGGTGGAATCGGACTAATTTTTTATCCCGTGTGGACTTTGAATAATTGATGATGTTTGTGGTCTTTGAATAATTGTGTATTTTGTGTGGAATTGGAATAATTGTTATCCTTTGAAAATGTCTCATTGTTTGTGTATTTTGAATAATTGTCAATTTGTGTGGACTTTGAATAATTTATTGTTTGTGTACTTGGAATAATGATCAATTTGTGTGGACTTTGAATATTTTGTGGAGTTTGAATAATTTATTGTTTGTGTACTTGGAATAATGTTCAATTTATGTGGACTGAATAATTAATGATGTTTGTGGATATTTGAATATTTTGTTATGTTGTGTGGACTTTGAATATTTTGTGGAGTTTGAATAATTTATTGTTTGTGTACTTGGAATAATGTTCAATTTATGTGGACTTTGAATATCCTTTGTGGACTTAGTATTAATTGATCCTGTGTGGACTTTGAATAATTAATATGTATTTGGACTTGTTATTATTTTATCGTTTGTGGACTTTGAATAATTGTCAATGTAGACTGAGTATTTTTGTCATGTTGTGTGGACTTAGAATAATTTGTATCCTCTGTGGACTTGTAATAATTGTTAATGTATGTGGACTTGGAATAATTTATGATGTTTGTGGAGTTAGTATTATTTTAGCCTTTGTGTATGTGTAGTTGGTATGTTTGTGGACTTGTTATTATTTTATCGTTTGTGGACTTTGAATATTTTGTGGATATAGAAAATGTTTTATCGTCTGTGGCTCCGTATTAATGTATTACGTCCGTGGACCGGGAATAATTTTGTATCGTGTGTGGACTTGTAAAATTTTTCATTGTTTGTGGACTTAGATAAATGTTCATATGTTGTGGAGTTAGTATTATTTGAACTTGTGTGGACTTGTAATAATTTTCAATGTTTGTGGACTTAGAATAACTTTTAATGTATGTGGACTTTGAATAATTGTCATCGATTGTGGACTTATTATATTTTTGATGTTTGTGGACTTTGTATTATTTTATTGTTTGTTTTTGTATTTGGAAATATTGTCATTGTTTGTGGAATTAGAAAAATTTTCATATGTTGTGGAGTTAGTATTATTTTATCCTGTGGACTTGTAATAATTTTCAATGTGTGTGGACTTGGTATATTTTTCATATTTTGTGCTTTGAAATATTGTCTTTGTTTGTGGACTTAGTTTTTTTTCCTCTTGTGGAATTGGACTAATTTATGTTTGTGGACTTGGAAAATTTTTTTATCCTTTATGGACTTAGAAAATTTTCATGTTGTGTGGACTTAGAAAATTTTCATGGTGTGTGGACTTAGTATTTTTTTGTTGTTGTGTGGACTTCGTTTTTTTTCCTGTGTTGTGGACTTAGAAAATTTTTCGTTGTTTGTGGACATAGAATAATTGTCATGTTGTGGACTTAGAAAAATTTTCATCCTTTGTGGACTTAGAAAATTTTTCATGGTGTGTGGACTTAGTATTTTTTGTGGTGTTGACTAAGTATGTTTTTGGTTGTGTGGACTTAGTAAATTTTTCGTTTTTTGTGGACATAGAAAAATTTTCATGTTGTGGACTTAGTTTTTTTTCATGTGTTGTGGACTTAGTATTTTTTTGTTGTGTGGACTTAGTAATTTTTTGTTGTGTGGACTTAGTATTTTTTTCATGTGTTGTGGACTTAGTATTTTTTTGTTGTGTGGACTTAGTATTTTTTTCATGTGTTGTGGACTTAGTATTTTTTTGTTGTGTGGACTTAGTAAATTTTTCGTTTTTGTGGACATAGTTGTGTGGACTTAGTTGGTGTGTGGACTTAGTTGTTTTTGCTGTGTTGTGGACTTAGAAATTTTTTCATTATTTGTGGACTGTATATTTTTCATGTATGTGGACATAGAAATATTTTGAGCATAATAAAAGAAAGTATATAATCAATGTCTTTATTTTTCCTAAGTTAACATACAGCCATATTGGATTTGGAGAAGCAAAGCATGATGTTGTAGAAAACGGTAGTTTTGGAGCCAGAGAAATTTCCCATTTTCTTTGATGGTTTCCCATTTTCTTAAGTTGAACAGAAAACGGGATTTTTTTCAAAGTCGCTATCTTTTTAAGATAGGTTCTGGCAGCCCGTTTTTTATTATATAAGTTATTTTAGAGTGTTTATTGAGCAACAAAGGTGATTTTTCAACTGAAAGAAAGTAGTTATTCCAAATTAGTTTTAAGTTAGTATTTTAATGTTTTGTTTGCAAACTGACTTTAACCATATTGTCAATAGGTTTAGTCATAAAGCTCTCTCGACACAGATATCGTGTCTATGGACTAGTCGTGTGATAGATCGACAATGTCCGAGCTTTTGTTTGCAAACAAACATCAAAACACCAACTCACAACCAATGAGGAATAACTACTCTCTCTCAGTTGAAAAATCACCTTTGTTGCTCAATAAACACTCTAAACAACACCACATGTGTTCCCGTGTACCTGTCAGAAAAGGGAGAAACAAAAACAGCATTACAAGTCAAATTATTCAACACATTAACTAATCTCAATGATGCTTTACTTATCATATTACATCAACTAATCTCAATGCATTTCAACATCTTTACTTTACTTTACATATAATCATATTACATCAATGATGCGTTTCAACATCTTTACTTTACTTTACATATAATCATATTACATCAACTAAACTCAATGATGCATTTCAACATCTTTACTTTACTTTACATATAATCATATTACATTAACTAATCTCAATTCTTCACACATTACCTTCATCTTCTCATGTCGCTCCACTTCTTCTGGTGCCTAATCACTTGTCGTCGTCATCTTCTACCTTATGTGTCACTCAAAATGCACATCAGGCAATAAAGAAAACACAAAATTCAACTCAAATACATATATTCTATACACTTAGCAATATAATACAGTACAGTACATCATCTTCATAGGGACAACACCTATGCATTCACAGAACATCATCTTCTCGGCTCCATACACCCAGGACAACGGCTAGAAGTTCACTGGACACCAGCTTCTCGGCTCCATACACCCCGGTCAATGGGACGACGGCTATACGTTCACAGGACATCATCTTCTCCCCTCACTGGTACCACGGCTATTAGGTTCACAGGACATCTTCTCGGCTCCAGTCACGACACCTATACCTTCACAGGACATCATCCTCTCGGCTCCATACACCCCGGTCACTGGAACACAGGACATCTTCTCTGGGACAACAGCTATACATTCACTGTACACCATCTTCTCGGCTCCAGTCACAGGGACGACGGCTAGAAGTTCACGGGACATCTTCTCGGCTCCAGTCACA